GTACACACCAACTTAAAAGCCTGCCGGTCTCCTGCTGCTCTTAGGAGCCAAACCGCAGCCCTTACCTGTCGCTCCGCCTCCTACCCCGTGGCCTCGCCCCTTCCGCCGGAAGCTGGAACTTCTCAGACCCTGGAGACCAGGTCTGTGGACAGGCTCTCCTCCCCACTTCTCTGCCTGGTTCCCGCCGCTGCCCGCCCTTCAAGTTCTAAGTCAGCCCTCCAACCAAGGCTCTCCTGATCACTGGGACCAGGTTACACACTATGGGCCGTGGCCTCACGACATAAAGCAGAGCGCTCCATCAGGGCACTTGCTGCACTTTTGTGTCACATCAGTGTCTTCGATGAGGCAGCTCAATGAAGCAAAAGCCACCGTATTTTGTCACCACCACCGAATGCCTAGTGGTTGGCATGATGCCAGGCAGAGTCCCCTGCTTGCTGAGTAAGTTCAGCAGCTTCAGTGTCTCCCTGGCACGCGCACACAGTACATAAAAGAAAGCGAATGCATCCAGAGAAGGAATAATGCACTGAAAGCTGCCTTGCCAGGGGCCGGGGACAGACTGCTCGTCTCTCACTGCCTACCACTCAGAGCGCTGGATGGTGTGTGGGCCTGATGAGGCTTCAGAGTGGCTCGTTAACACGGGGACACAGTCGCAATGCAGGTTCAGGGTGGGCACCAGGAGTCGAGGCTGCCAGGCAGATTTCCTCTCCTCGCAAGCAGCGCCTCCTCTCGAGCTGCACAACAAACACGACGTAAGCAGACTTTACTCAAGGATGCTAGAGTCAGGTCTTCACGGAACTCCGTCTAATGCACACAGAACACTCACCAGTCCCAGTGCTTCTGCAGAATTCAAGATGGGAAAAGGCACAAAACGAGCCTTGTTGACAGTCTGCTTTTCCTAGGACTCCACCCCCACCCCCCAGTTAACTCCATAAAAGGGATAGATCAAGGGCAACCCTGACCCTCTGAAATTAACTAATCAAACTTGAGTGCTGACTGGGAAATCCAGTGGGTGCAAGATCCAGAAGCTTAAAGATCAAGTCAAAGCTCTGAATGCAGTGCTGACCTGATCTCCATTCCAACTACAGACTATTGAAAATTAACAACCCAAGTTCCCGTCTTTTTCTGTTGACTTGGGCCTCATGCTGTCCCCCAGCTGGAGTGCAGTGGCATGACCACAGTTCATCACAGCCTTAACCTGGGGCTCAGGCGATCCTCCGCCTCAGCCTCCTCAATAGCTGGGACACCAGGCATGCGGCACCATGCCCAACTAACTTTTTAAAACATTTTTGTAGCGACATGGTCGTACTACATTGCCCAGGCTGGTCCTGAACTGCTGGGCTCAAGCCATCCTTCTGCCTCGGCCTCCCAAGGTTCTAGGATGACCCCTGTGCCTGGCCCTTCATAAATGAGCAGCTATGAAGCGACCGCTCAACTGCCTTCTCTGTCGATGACCTGTCAAGTGGGCACCTCAGCTAGGAACCCTCCAAACAGGCCTCGTCCTTGGACCTCCTGCCAACAGTCTCCCACACTACAGAGCTGCATTGCAGCCAACTGACTAAGAGAGTATTTGTTTTCATATCAAGATACATTAACTGGAAAGATCCTTCCATATGATTTAGGAATACTGGGATCTGGAAAGAAAACTGCCCTAATCAAGGTAATTAGTGGTATTTTACCTTTACTGAAGTTTTAAAAAAGAAGCTTCACCTGGCTACTCAGAAGGCTGAGGAGGAAGGATCGCCGGAGCCCAGCAGGTCGAGGCTGCGG